CCATATACCACGAGTTCCTTCATTACCATTAGCAGCTATAACATTGATTCCTCGAGTTGCAATTGAATCTGCAATAACAGACATTGAAGTTTCTGCCCATCCTTCACCTCCCTAATAATAAACAAAACAATTTGTTAAATAACAAAATCAATAAATATTTACATTTAATTTATAAGACAAACCAAATAAACTTACTAAAGATAAATTTACTATGTCCATTTGATCAGTTGCAGCTGCTTCTAATGCAGCCATTATATTGTCAGCACTCCCTGTACCTTGACAATTCATGGATTTATAAGCACCAAAAGTAACATTAGGAGCAACACCCATAAATCCAGTTATTAGACTGTCATTAGCACCTATCAAACCAGCAACATGTGTACCATGACCATTACAAGTATCAAGTGGATCATTAACACTATTAAAGTTGGTTCCATCTATAACAAAATTATGCCCATATGCCACCCTACATCCTGTTCCATAACAACCTCCAAGTGCTGGATGTCTGTAATCAATTCCTAAACAAAATCATAATTATTAATTAGTTTTTTTTTTTTTTTTAAAAAAAATAATAATAGTAGTAATAATAATTTTTAATTTTTTTTTTTTTTTTTTTTTTTTTTTACCTGTATCAACAATTCCAACTTTAATCCCAGTCCCAAAACTCAGAATCTCATTTTGTACACGATCAACACCAGTGACTTTATGTATCTCATTTATATTATTATTAGGAGCAAATTGGATTGTGTCATTGGTATTGTAATCACGTTTTTTAAGTTTATCATCAACAATATGACTAGGCCTGGGTACTATGTTAAGATTCTATGCAAATTTTTTTCACACAAAATTTTAAAATTATATACAACATATAGACGCATACATACAATGCAAGATATATATATAAATACATACTATAGGTTCAATATATGATACAACCGATATATCAGCAACCTTTTTCAAGCTATCAAGTCCACCAGGCAACAAAAATGATACGCCATTAATATAATCAAAGAATTCATGACGAACAGTGAAGTTTATACCCTTTTGATTTAATTCTTTAAAAAATTCTGTGTGTTCAGCAATTATTATATCAGAATTGTTATTATTTTTATTATTATTAGGAATAGTTTTTAAACATACATAATAAGCATCTTTTAGGACAGGTAATGTTGCAGGTCCTGCTTTTATTATGCCAGAAATTACAACATGAATGTAAATAATTTGTATAAGAAGGAAAAAAACTATCAAAAAAATGGGAAGCTTCATAATTATAGTAGTATGCGAGAGTTGATATTAATACTGGAATTGTTCTAAAATTTAATGTGTTCATTATAAATAATTTAACGGTACTTCATTCATTGTATTATTTCTATTTTTATTTATTAAAATGGTTGTTTATATTTTGTGGTCCTGTTTGTGCGTGAAATAAACGTAACTTTTAGGCAGCCACGTATAAATAGAATTGTTCAACAACGCAAACTTGTGTCACAATCTACCTATTATTGTATCGATGGGTTACCACAAGCACGCAAATAAATATGTTGTGAGGTGTAGTGTCTTAGACTATCGCATGCAATCTATCTATTATTGTATTGTTGGATTACGTTTAGACTACCACAAGCACGTAAATAAATATGTTGTGATGCGTAACTTTTAGACTACGTACCACATGTAAATGATTTTTAAATTGTGATACAATAAAATTTCCACAATAAAATTTCACACAGTATACGTATTACACGTTTGCATACTTTTTTTTTTTTAAACAAAAAATTACGCGTTTGCATACTTTTACCCATTACTAAAAATAACTAAAAATAACACACGGGAAAATAAAATAATACTATGGATAGAAGTAACACTATAAATGAGACTTCCGAAGAACGTCGACGAAGACTTAATCGTGAACGACAACAACGTTATCGCAAAAACAAAAGAAATACGGGACTTGACCACTCA